ATGACCGTCGTGACACACCTGCGAACCCCGGATGCACAGATCTGAGAATGCGGTGTGCAAACACAAACATGCATACACGAAGCGAACGATTCCTCACATTTTATTGTTCTCCTAACCCCTAGGATTTTCCCCCTCATATAAACTGTAACGGCATGATTAAGAGTTATTGAAAACAATTGTTCGCCTGAAATTGTGTTCTAATATAGTGAAAACCCCTGTCAATGCTTCTTAATTATTTTGAGTCCAGAAGATACTATCTATAGTTAAAGTTTACGATGTCTGGTATTTGTGAGCTTGTAAGCTCACAAACCAGTGTCTGCATCACCAGTATCCGTGATGTGTAGTCTGATCCGTAGTGAGCAAACAGCACTCCCTCCACCATTTTCAACTAGTTCCACAACGGACAAAGGTACCGGCTCTTGCAGCTCTTTCCTTCCATGTCGCGGCTGGTCGGCGGGTCACCACCTGAGCTGAATCGGTCGTGGATTAACACTGCTGCTGGGTTGTTCATCCGGATTGTTCGCCAACGCCCGTACTCCGACAGTTGCAGTCACACTGTTGCTACGTATTGGTTGATGCAGGTTGGGCAATCTCCATGGTGGCAGGAAGGGCATCGTGACAGCGCGTCGGCGTTAAAGTGGTTTCCCGGGACTGTGGTAGCAGTCGAAATCGTATTCCTGCATTATTTTCTGCCACCACGCAGCCTGAACTTTAGCATCTTTGAAATTTTGTAACCAGCTTGGGGATTGATGGTCAGGACGGACGATGAATTTGCGACCAACTATAGATAGTGCCTGTAAGATCTCAGAAAGCATACCTGTGCCAAGATCTCTTTTCAAGTTGTGCAGTGGTTTCTTTCACTTTTCCTCAAGCCACGGCTCTCGTAGGCTATAACGTGCTCCTTGCCGTCTCGTCAAGTTGATGACAGTAATGCACCGATCAATGGCAATTGCGTCAACGATAAACTGTCCAGCAGACGGAGACGTGTCAAAAGTGCCGAGATGGGTACTGACCAAAGAAGTTTTCGCAGCCTTTGAAAGGGCTTTTCACATCCGGAGTCTCATATAAATGAATTATCCTTTCCAACAAGGAGTGTAGGGGGGAAGCAACCTGAGTAAAATTGACATTAAGTTGTCTTTAGTAGGATGCTAATCCTGGGAAGCTTCTCGCATCCTTCAGACTATGTGATGTGGGCCTGGGTTGTACCTGTTCAACTTTCTTTGGGGCTGAGTGGATCCCTGCTACCGCGATGGTGTGTCCCAGATATGCAACCTGAGACTGCACGAAGTGACGCTTTTCTGGTTCTAGGCTTACAGATAGATCAGTAAGGTTAACACAAAACTTCAATCAATTTTTCTGACACTTGTTATGTACCACATAAAAAACATGTGACCAACTGACATTATCTCTGTCTCAATGTTACATCGTATCTTTTAATCGACTCTGTTCGATTCTCATTCACCAAATAGCGAGTGGTCTGCAAAACATTTCTCTCTCAGTGCATTTACTGAAATTCAATTCAATTATTTATCAATGTCACCAAAATTCATTCCCGCAAATTCAATAAAAGTAGAATAAGGGGAAAGTTCTAAAAAAGTAATATTCTGATCGACATCTCTACACAACGAAACAATGGCATGATTGGGTTGCTTATTGCTGAGGAGGATGAAATTACTGGTTAGAGCGTACGTGAAAATGTGGACTCTTCTGCCCTATCTACCTTATTAGGAATCGAACCCAGAAGCTCACAAGCACCACCACAACATACAAACCGTTGGATCACAGGACAGTTCATCAGTCTTTTTCGCCGTGTTTACACGCACTACTGCATGAGCTAGAATTCCGTCAAACGACCTAAGGATCCCAAGATTTGTGAGGATTAAATTGAGCTCCCTGTGTTTCGATAGCCCTTGTGTCCTTAAACATTGCACAAAGATAACTATTTCAGTCCAAGCTTATCACTAATTTAGCTTCATCAATTTTACTTTCACGTTTCATTTTTAAAAATTCTATGTTTCTTACGCTCCTCATAATTTAAATTTTCATCTGAGAGAATTCCTATAACGACAAGATGCTCCTGAGCAACAACTCCTTTATTTCACGGTTTCTGATTACTGTCTGAAGAGGAAATTCATGGTCGTTTGTGTTTACTTTTTGGAGCAAACAAATGACACACCCGAAGAGCAGTTCTGAATGAACTCAGATCAACCAAATAAAGCTTCATTGATCGAAATTCAACTCAAAAAGTGTTGCAAAATGCTTTGTAGCGCATTTTAGTGCACAGTTACGGCCGCGTTGATGTGACGCAATCCCCCTCCCCATACGTGAATGCAGGAAGCCGTATTGATGCAGATGACAGGAAAAAAGAAGAATCTCCTGACAAAATGCCACCGGGCAATTTCATTTCTTAGACAGCTAAACGACTGAATGATAATGAGTTAAGTTTATAACCAGGATGAAATGAGTTTCTGCAAAATCTCTAATCTCGTAGTCAGTTCATGCAGTGTTGCGTACAAAACAAGCCATAAGTGGCTATTTGTTCAGCTAGATTTGTTTGTAACGTGAGCTTTATTCGTGTGTTTCATCACACATCTGATAACCACCGCTCACTAAGGCGAGTAGAATTCGCTGTTTTGAAAATAATCAATTTTTTTATTGTTTCCTGTATGTTGCAAGGGGTCGTGACTTCACATTCTAAATAGAATTATTAGTTTCCCATGAACAGACTAACTTGATGACAAAACAAATATTCTTATAATAAAATTAAAGAGATTTCTTTTCTTCTTCAAGGGGTACGGAAATATTTCAAATCAATTTTATATTTAATTTGTGATGGAATTATTTGTGTTGAAACAGACTATTTCGAATTTTGCGGTAGCAAGCTTGGATTAGCCCATTCTGTTGTAAGGAGGCACCAAGCGTTCTTAACGGTCTCGGTTGTGTGTTTTACTCCTTAGGAGATCGTTATTTCCCCACAAGTTCATGCATTTACATGCGATGGAAATGGTTATGATAACCGACAAAGCTCACTGGTCAGCTGTTTCGTCCTGTTTGGGACTCGTCAGCAGGGCGCACATCAAGAGTGCCGAGTGCTTCTCAACAATCGAATGGGGTAATTCAAGCTTGCTACCGTAAAGCAGATTCAGCCAGTCGCACAAGGTGATAACCGTCAACCGTATAGCTCAGTGTTAAGTGTTTAAAGTCCCAACCTGAAAGTTCGTGGTTCGAGCCCTGACACGGACACAAAACGTACGCCCTGCTGACGAGTCCCAAACAGGACGAAACAGCTGCACAGTGCGCTTTGTCGGTTATCACGAGCATTTCCATCGCACGTAGAATATTTCGAAATTTGGAATATCTTGTGCTGGTGGGCACAGAGGAACAAAACATCTGTCGGTGGATCACGAAATGAGAAACACTCCACAGCCACAAATTATCCCTAAACGAATGGTTACGTTAACTCAATGTATTATACTTCAAACCAACACAAAAGGTGTTACAGATAGAACAGAACGCGTCTAAAATGTGGGAAAGTGAACAAACTTCTAAAACATGAAACCATTAACTTTCCCTTCCCCTTCCTCAAGTGAAATCACACAAGAAAACCGTTTGATCCGTGTGGTACCTGATAAATCAAATGGATCAATCAAGTCATCAGTTGATTGTTGTCTAACGAATTATCGTCATCTGGACTACAAATAAAGTTGCATTCAGTTTGTGCCAATCGTTGCACATCATGTGATTGTTCCAATTATTCAATAACATTTTTCAAATTCTCACTAATTCTTGATGTCATTTTCATTCACTTTGTTTGTTTGTTTGTTTGTATTATTCCATTTATAGTCCGCCTCTATGAAGTTATTGAAACCACTCGGCATGTCTATATGATCATGGAATATGCCAAGAATGGTACGTTTTTTCATCACATGTAGTTCTTGTCACACTTGTTACATCATACCCGTTGTGTCACATGACTAGGTCGACGTTAGATCGATGCTGTTTAGCTCATTTCGTTCTGCATACACCTTATCCAATCAACTTGGAAAAACCTCTTCAAATGTTATAACGTTATTGAGTGTAAAACGCAATTTCCTTCACAAACACTGGAGGCCTAGGAAAAGCACTTCCGTTTTATTTTATGCCAATTAACACAAGTGGGATATGTTCAAAATTGTTCTTGAGCAGGTCTCCCTTCTGGGGCTATTTCGGGAACTTCGTTGAATAATTTTGTGGGATTCTATGAGGCTTACTTGCTCGGTATCTGCCGTCCTGCTACTGCGTCCCAATAAGGGAAAACAGCTGGTCAGCATTGTATGATTATCTTTATTCAACTTCGTTTGAAATACTAAAAGTTTCTTCAAAACCAGTGGTAATGAACAGGTAACCAAGGAGTTTCTTTTTCTTTTCAGGCCAATTCAAGTTTCGATTTATCCACTCAAAGAATAGACTGTCAGTGACTGGAGAATTTAAACAGTATCTATATATGACAGTTTTTGTAACGAAACGGTGTTACTGCATTGAGAATTACACCTCGCTTGGTGATGGAACGCTTGCAATACATTTGCCAAGTTCAGCAAACAACTGAATATCAGTATCTACTTATGTTGGTAAATTTTAATATAAATAAAACTGGCGTCGTAGTTTGGGGAAAACTCTAATGTGAGTCTTTTTGTGACATAAGCCGTATCGTTAACCAGAAAACTGATAAATTCAGGATCGATATAGTTTATGCAGATTAATGCGTGTGCAGACAGGAGTCGAATTCCGCGGTGCGCTGGGATATTCAGCAAGGTTTTTATCAGCTTAATGCTTCACGTCACGAATTGCATTGTCAATAAGCTTCTCGAATCCAACAATTAGCCTGGAAACAGACATTCCTCACAGTGCCACCGATTCGGAACAAAAATTAAACAGTACTGCAGAACACGGTGTCATTTTCTACTTTTAAATCACTGAGAAGTATAGGAGGGCTGCATTGTCAGTGTGAAAAATTTCAAGTTAGTTTTAATTCAAGCATACGATTTAGGTGAAGGGTTGTCTTCCTGTGTCAGTAGGTGATTGAATACAGTTTGTGTACTTTTGTGAATCCGTTTTCAACCTGAGGCGAGCGGAAAAGACTGCAAGTGCGACGGATGCCCGGAGTAGTTGGGATTGCTCTGAATGTTGTATCGCCTAATTCAGGATCTCGAACCAGCCTGGTTGGTTCTAATAAACCTACACATATTTATAAATTGGGCATGAAAGTCACCGCGAACCTAAAGAAGAAGCATTAATCTACTGTTCACATTTAAAATTAAAAAATAAATAGCTTTTGCTTAAGTCGCAAGGACAGAAGGTAATAATTTGGTGGACATTTTGATAAAAGATAAAATCTGTTGTTCTGCGAAAAAATGTCAGTTCCGGTTATCGAAAACCTTTTGTGAAATTGCAGGTTGCGGTGAGTACACAATGTGGCTGTTCTCCGTGGTTTCTGCGGCAATTAAACTGTCCCTGATAACGAAAATGACAACAGCATATGAAGTGATATCGAATGACAAACTGGTGGCGGCTATGTATCTTATCTTTGATGGGACGGACAATCAGTGGTTTAGTTCTTGACATTATTTTCGGATATGGTATCGCCAAACATTTATCCATGCACAAGCATTATTCAAGAATTAATAAAAGTTTATCCTCCATGGTCATAGATCCCATGAGCCGTAGAAATCCCTTAATCAAATTGGAAATAAAACCGAGTAATGGATAGATAGAATGCTAGTCTGTCTGGCATGTTATCACGGAGTGTTTCACGGTGCACCACAATCCTGCACGATAACGCGTTCCATTATTTGTTTTTTACAACACATCAAAATCATAAGTTTAAAACCATCCATTGAGGTTTTGCATTGGCCAAATCAAGTAATATAATTCGTGAAAGATTCCCATAAGAATATCAAAAGACAAACGATATAGTGAACAAGCTTATTTTTGTAACTTCATCTTCAGGCATTTAAATTAGTGTGTGTTTATATCTAATGTGGAAATAAATTTGGTTGGTTCATTGAGGTTAAGTGTAAAAATGCAACAATGTTTGTCAAGTTTAATCGGAGAGAGTAGAGAAAATGGGATCAGGGAGGAGAAGAGGGATCACAGTCAATTCTGGAAATTTCTGATGACCTTTATCACCTGCGGCCTGTCACGCCACGTTTCGTCATCACGACATGACTGAAGTCATGGTTCGGGTCGTCACGTAGGTTTGGTTGGGGCCAAGGCAATTGGAGTGCGGTAAACATTTTCTTCTGTTTTCACAGTGAATGGTTCATTATTTTGATTACTACAGCTTTTGCTGTTGCCAAGAGACGTATCCGAACGTACTTTGACTTGTTTTGGGGCACTTTGTAAATGACTTTAAATGCATCGTTGTTTGACTGGTGCCCGGTATCGGCGAGGTGGGCCACAATCGCACTGGGAATTGTTTTCTTGCAACCCGTGCTAAGCCAAGCCGGTTTTCTCTGATCCTGAGAACTGCCTCATTGTTCGTCTTACATAACTTGCCGGACATGTGCAAGTGAAGGAATATGTAATCATAGATGAGGACAGCTTATCCTTGAGGTTTGTGCAGAGCTGTAAACATCACACGTAGAGTTGTGGCGAGATATGTTCGTGCTTTTTCCAGACATCTTCTTAATAGGTCGCCACTCGTATCGCTTTTAGACGGGAGCTGCATGAATAGCTCTTGCTTTTTGGCCATGATTGGGTTTAGCAGTCTCGGCTTTGCTATGAAGTTCTCGATGAAAAGCTCCATGTATCCATTATTCAGGAGTGTAGATTTGATGAATCTTAGTTCATTCTCCACAAGATCCTTAGAGTAAAACACTTGAGTTCTGAAGGCCAGACATTGGACTAAGTTTCATAATATAACTTCGATTGTTAAATCGCTTTGATTAAGGTTATCCACGGTAACCGAAACGTAGGTTTATTTTCACTTGTACCGAAATAACTGTTTCAAAATTACAAATTTTATAAAACATCACATAGCACATCGATTTTTCGATACACTCCTAACGTCATTCGGATCTGACACTATAACTTCCAGTACCCCTTAAGTTTGGAGATTCAAGTTCCATCGGAACCGAAGTAGAACGAGTTAACTGTCACGATTTGGTGCCGCAATGATTAATTATTTATTGTCTCATCTATGTGTTATAACTACACTGCAACTGGCTAATGAAGCCTTTTCGCACACTGCGAGAAAAAGTCATCTATTGTGCAAAAGCTATTAGTATTCATGGTGGAATTCGTTGTTCAGAAACGACATGTACGTGGTATTGGTTTTCCTGCTCGAGGTTCAAGCCTATGGACTAGTTACGTAGTTGTAGTTCAATCAACTTAACCAAATCAGTCTTGGGTGAATTGATTCTTCCGTTACACCTTGTTCTAAAGGGTTTCCTGATATCCCCGATATTGTCAGACGTTCTGTCACCCGACATCATGTTATCGTAGTGGAGGTTAAAGGTTAGGGAAGTTGAAGTGTAAGCAATCGACCATCAGTGGCATTTATTCTACCATCAAACTATATATGTTCTTCACCATCACCAATAAAAAATACTAACTGACTTCTCTCATTGCAAACTTAAATGTGATTATCACCGTACACGTGAATTCAGTGTTAGGAGAATAGTCGTACTTCAGAGGTAACTGCACGATGAAATTACCGAAAATTTTAGAAAGAAATAATTGAAACTTCTAGAATATATATTTCATTAATCAAAAATAGATAGTTAGGATCTTTAAAACCAAGAAATTCCAATGACGATTTCGCATCACAATCCAAAAAAGCACGCACTTAAAATATAACCTTGAAGAACCAGTGGTAAATCAAGCACTCCACTTGTCGAACACACTGCACTGAACCTCTCAATCTCTGAACAAAGGGTCGGAGAGAACCCATTTTGAGGCTGCACCGGTTCGATTAGTATAAATTGCTAATCCTTCTTAGTTAGAATAAAGCAGCTTTGGTCTCAGTGGTTTCTAGTGGTATGTGTAACATGCTGGTATCGCATGATGCATCATCACCTCCTTACCGTTCGACCTCTCACTACTAAAATAAAGGTGTACTGATAGCAAAAATCCATGAACGGTTAGACAGATGATGATTGTGTCTAAAACGTGAATTTTAACTAGTCCGATACGAACAAGCCAGTCAGCAAGCACATACTCCTGACTCGACACAATCCTTTTTCAAGTGAGTAATGGAGGATTCGGTTCAATTTCAAAGGTAAATCCTTTTTATTTTGCAGTAATCATTGTTTGTCATATGAATGAAACTAAGGCATACGACTGAATGGAACTCAACGAATGTGGCATGACAGACTACTCGGACGAGGTTACATGTATTATACAACGGACTAACCGTAAGAGCATTCGTCACAACACCTATCATCAGTGTCATTCAGATCATACCTCATTGTGTGAGAACAGGCAAACAAGTATTAATGCGAAGCTATTTGAAAACTAGGCACTACAAAAGTCGACGTGAAACATAGTCCATTGCTGGATCATGTGATCACAAATTCTTAAGTTAAGTAAAAATGTAAACTATTTTGATGCTTCATTGTACATCCGAGAGAAGCAGTATATACTGTAATCTATAGAAAAAGGTTTGATTCGAATAATCGAAAGTTACGTTGCATCTATTCACACTATCTTGTGCTCTCGTTCTCCTCACAAAGATAGCATGAGTGACTGACTTACACACTGGTGACATGCCTAATCACTATAATCCGGCCTTTTTATTTCGCCAGTTACCGCTTTTGCAAATGGGGTACCAGAAACACAATACAAAACCATGTTGTCTTAAAAAACCAATATGCAACGACCTTATTTCAGCATGTGTTCTCTAGCTTCAGTATTGTTCAGCAAGCCGAACAAGTCAAAAATGAACCCTGCTGGTCCTAATAGCTCTTATCAACCCCAAATTTGGTTCACAAACTTTGGGGAATAAAATATTTTAATCGCAATGGTTTCATTGACCTTTTGTGATTTGTCCCCTTTGGCTCGTCAGTAAAAAATAAATTTTACTTTATCCTATTTTTCATATCATCTTGTTTATCTGCTTTTTTCGTAGGTGAAGTGTTTGAACATTTGCTAAAAGCCGGACGGATGGCTGAGACGAAGGTTCGGGTTATTTTTCGTCAACTATTCTCCGCCGTTGAGTACTGTCATCAGAAGAAAATTGTACACAGAGATCTGAAGGTAGTTCTTCTGTTATTTTTATCTTTTGTGTGATGTGGCCTGTACTCGCATGGCGCAATGCCCTAGTAGATCATGAGGCAATTTCACTCTCAACTAGGATCACAGTTCGGACGGATCTGCCGACTTTAAGGGTTGCCTGATTCGGAAGTCACAAAACAGATCACGATGCTCAAACGGATTCAATTTATTGTTTTACTTTACTTTACTTACTTTTCACAATATAAATCATCGTTTGTAAGTCACGTAGTTGTGGATTTACAAAATCGTCCATTGTGCATACATAACAAAAGATTTCCATATCAAAGCTTCGCACCCGTTCGTACCACGGAGCTTTTTATTATCCAGTACTGAGCAACTTGACAATAGAATGACGTGGACTGCAGACATCTTGTGATCGGCTAGCCAACACCATTTGCTGTCCATTCTTCTCATCCGCTGTTGATTTCTTTCATTTTGTTAAATATGTTCTACCCGACTTACCCAGAAATGAGAAAGTTGTTTCTCCACTGATTTAATACAACTCGAATACTTTGCAATCTTATGGGAGGAGAGTAGATGAAAATTAAGTACATCAACTCTATCTTACTTGTCACAATCCAACAAACTATCATTTCAAACGAAGCAAAAGAAGCGTAATCTGAAACGCCAGTTTTCGCCTATTCATACCCATACCAGGAAGCATTCACTGTTTCAGCTGACTGATTGCCTACTCTACCTTCGTCTAATGTTTTATTCAAACATGTTAGTCAATCAACGAGCACAGTTTGCATTGCCTTGTTATTCCGTTAACACAAAATCCGGATTGCATTTGATTGTGTGGATTTTTTAGCAGTCTGAATAACATTTACAAGCTTATGAAAGGTTGCGGGGAAAAATCACTGCAATACTCGTTTATCAGTGATTGTGCTAAAGCAAAGAAAAAACAGTATAACACTATAACATTCGCAATGAAACAACATATGGCGCATCGATTTTTCGATACACTCCTAACATCATTTGTTCCCGATGTATTAAAAATAACCCACACGAATGTTAAATTTGATGAGTAATATTAATAACAAATCAGCGTAATACATGGGAAGAATGCGAAGGGACGTCAAATATTGCAAATAGAAACATGATTCACAAATTCAGTGCTCCGGCTTTCATACGGTTGCTATGATGACTTATCGGGAAGCCAGCTAAGATCTTAAACCTATTCATCAATATTGTATTCCGCAAAGGTAGCTTTTGCAACCGCGTTGATTACGCGAATTCCATCCCGGGTTCTAGGGCTATCCAATCCGCGCTAGCTGAAGCAACCATATTCTATCAATGGTTTCGCCATTATTTACGAAGCGTGTTGCTGCTAAAAAGTTCTAGGTGTTTCATGCATTGTATGACCGTGTCGTGGATAGCATATCACAGCAACCGAACATGTAAGTAATGAAATAAGTTAGGGGAGGCAGAGAATCAGGGAGATAGGCTATGTGCACATTTGGGCTCTAATCGATCTCAAACCAGAAGATCAACTATCCTCATTACATCAGATTATTCCTTTCCCTGGTTACGGACTAAACAATTGAAGATTAGTAATTTAACTGTGCGTAGTGGAACAATGTGCTTCAACTTACAGCAGGATAGTGAAAACTTTTTTGTTCTCCGTTTTGATCAAATATGATTGGAATCAGTTCTTGTTGTTGTTGTCCTCTGGATTAACAGAAAACCTAACTCTCTGTCTCTGTAAAGGATATGGGAAAAATTGCCCTGCCTATCCTGGTCAATTCGTTTTGAGTCGTTCGGCATGGTGACAACACACACACACACACGTCTTGTATATGAGGGTCTCGTGATTCAAATTCTGCATCTGATGGAATCGCATCATTACTGATCTCTAATTAGAATTAACCCCCCGTCTAGTGTTTACGAAATGCATGATTAAGAGAGATAAGGAAATGATTTTGTGCGTGAAATGTAGCCTGTAAGCTGACGTGTCAAAAACAGTGTTGTTACTCAGTTCACATTTCTGTTCACAATTAATCGAAGGTAGAAAATTTGAGGTTTTTAAGTCCTTGTATATCTTATTTCTCATTGCAACTAAATTGCTTTCTTAATATGGTGTAAGAAAAACTGACAAACTCGGAAACAGTGCTGATTAAAACAAAACTGTTTTGGTTCTACATTCAAACACTGGTCATGTGGTAGGTTAGCAGGTTATTAAATAAACGAATATCAAACACTCAGAAAAAACGTATAGTGCATCATGTATTGATGACGAGCCCATGGAACAAAGACAAATGCATTTAGTATAGCTCGTTTCCGAAACATTTTACTCTCGCGAAGAAACCGTAATGTGAAAAATGAAAACTCACCAAGGTTTAATCTTTTTCGATATTTGTATTGGCATGGTTCTAAAACATAAAACATTATGAGTGATAAAATTCCGTTCTTTGATCAGCTTTAGTGAGATAGATGTTTAGACATTCGAGAAATATGTGACTCCACCTCAATCACCTCAATCAAGATGAAATCTTTAAAATGTTACAAAGTCTATTCGTAACACCGTAGTAACCTGATTATTTTGGCTGTAAAAAACGAGAAAGTACTGTCAATCCAGAGGATTTGGTGATAGAAGACCACAATGTATGTTCAAACTAGGGTTTGGTTCCATGTCCAACGACCGTTTTAATGCATGCTCCAGTTTGGCAGTGAACGGCTCCTCGATTTGATATTTGCCTTATGAATGCATAGGGACGTGGATGGTAACGTTTTCTTCTTTTATAAACTGCTATATGGAACGGCAGTACTCCGGTCTCATTTCATTTGTTCCGATTGCTTCTCAATACTGAATTTACTTTTCATGACACGTACAGATTTCTGTACTCAAACATTGTATTTCAGGCAGAAAACCTACTCCTCGATGAGCATAACAATTTGAAACTGGCTGATTTCGGTTTTGCAAATACATTCGATGTGGGAAACACGCTCGACACATTCTGTGGAAGTCCTCCTTACGCAGCTCCTGAATTGTTATGTGGGCAAAAGTATCACGGTCCAGAAGTGGATGTTTGGGCTTTAGGAGTCATTTTGTACATGCTAGTCTGCGGTCAGCTCCCGTTTGAAGCCTTCACCCTGAAAGTGAGTCAGTTTCCTTGAAATATATCTGCCAGCCACTCTCAACCTGTAGCGTTGGGAGGAATTAAAGAAAAAAGAGATTTTTCGGTCCCGGTAATTGTTCACGCTTCTATTCACAGCTTTTTGCACGTTTAAAGAACATTCACTAATTGAGCTATCTACTCAAGATGAAAGAGTTCCAGTTGGGCTAATGCCATGTTATTAGTTGACCTCAGGACGCCATATTAACGAAACTAACACATTGTCTATCATCTCAAGACTCAGAAGCCAAAAGATGCTCCGCTTTTTCCAGACCGTACTCATTAATTGTTCTTTTAAAGCCTACCTGACGAAAGGGATAGAATAAGCATACACATTCTTGTTCATTTAGATGGTGAATGTTTGGATTAGCCCATTCGGTTTCTCACAGGCACCATGCACTGTTGATGATGTTCGTATTTATTCTTTTGCGAACAAACTTACTGAACTCAACCCCACCCATACCACCACTATTCCTCTCATTTTCACTCAAAACTCTTTGATTCAAATCTGAATTGTTATGATTCCTTTTTTGTCTCTCTCTCGTCATTTTTTAATTGCACAACTGACATCTTGTGTTGCTTTTAGGTTCCCTTTGACACGCGCTAACTGAATCAATTAATATTTCTGCTTTGTTAGTTACCTGCCTTAGGGATTATCTGACACACACTATTCAACTGTAATCCACTTCATGAGGTTTCTATAAATGTGCCGTACACGCACGCAAAATCGATTAGCATAGCAATATGCTGTTCAGATTCCTGTTCCTGGTTGTTCCGTTGAATGAGAATGTATCAACCTTGTGAATCTGCTCTTGTAGATAGCGGATGAGGTTTTCGAGAATAGCTCACCAATAGGGGAAGACACTTGAGAGACAGTAGAAGTGTACCAATAGAGGTTACCATAACACGGATTGTGTGTATGGGTCGTGCCATCAGAGTAAACTACAATTTTTTTCACTAATTGATGTCTCCGCAAAGTCTTTGCTTGATCATCACTACTTAGAACGATTGCCTGTACATTTGATCAGGCTGAGCATTGAAGAACTGTCATATGGATAATAAGTTGAGCTACTGCCCATGTACCTAAATGAATTTTAAACCATCAGAGGCCATTTGACTATTTCCGACGCACTTTGTTCATATAATGAAAATGAAGAAAGTAAATACTAATTGTTATTGTAGCTAAGTTATCTAAAACCTGGCGATGATGCATTTTTCGAATTCGTCATCTGTCTGTTTTTCTATAGCTGATAAATTCAACTTACTACTCAATTCAAATCTAAGCTTTTCCCCACTACCCTAAATTTTTCAGTGTTTATTCAACATTGCTTAATCACATGTGTTCCACTCTGTTCGTGACTTTTCATCATTCACCCAGTTGTTGCCTTGACAGTTAAAATATTAGATACATCTATCTTGTTTCTTATGCGTACAGTTTTTCTTCCCTCATTACACCATTAGACGTAATGCGAAACCTTTGGAGCTAAATTTAGAAAGAGTTAGGCTGTTCGGAAACGAATGCAAGTCAAGCCAGGTCAAGTTCTATGCACCCAAATGTGTAAACGTTTAGCACTTTTGGCAAGTTACAGTAAGCTAAATGTGTACATTAAACGTTTATTAAATGAAAAACAAATGGATGCAATAAAAAACCACTGCGATAGGTGATTTTCATAGTTATTTTGATTTCCGTAAATATATTGGCAAGATAAGGGATGATGCTATTTCGATATGTGGTGATACGTGCACCAATGAGCCTAAATTTGGAACGTGTATACAGACCAGACTCACATTTATTGAGATGGACGTGCGCGCAGTGTTCTTCGTTGACAGTATAAGACTAGTGAGTTTATCACGTGCATAAAAATACACACAACAAAATCAAACAGAAGGATCTTTCGAATGTCGCGGCAACGGGGAAGAAGTTTAATTGTCCTGGAAAAAAAGAATAAATTCTGTCTCCTTTGGATATGGAACAAATTCTGGGGAAGACTATAAGCAATGTGTAGTAATGCAGACAGTCACAAAATTAAGCATTACATTAAAGGGAAAGGCGAATTTTTTATTACTGAAAGCATGAAGGGAGTAGGTATGACCCACAATGTAACTGTTTTCAACATGCATGGACCAAAAAGGGTATCTGACAAAGTAACTCCAAGATGTATGACAGACAAAGTATTGAAAATCGGTTCTCATAGCTCGGGTGAAGTGAATTCCATTTTGCTTGGTAGCCGAACTTGATACTTTTTTCGCAAACGTTGCACCACCAGCCGATGTGACATTATCAATGCTTCTGAAGTGGATAGGAAGATTATTTATTTACCGCGAAAAACAAATGGAGACCAAATAGCATCCTGAAAAACCTTAGAGCTGACCTCTGTCTAGCAAGGGAGGATATTTACTGTAAAAAAGTGAATTGCGTCCTTTTTCAGAGCTAATTAATCAGTACGTTCAACAGATCAGGTACCAGACCGCAATCCGGAAGAAGTTGAATGAGAATGCCTCGTTCAAAGGATCCTAATCAAGGAAAAATAAAAGGAAGGTACAAATAAGCCACCTTGTCCCCTCTTTTTGGCTATTCATAAACAGGCTTCGTTTTGTATTCCCCTTCGCACACTCGTCATTCACCCACAACTATCCCGTTTCCATCCCGTCAGGAGTTACATTCCCGTGTATTGAGCGGTAAATATCGTATTCCATTCTATATGTCCGGTGACTGTGAAGCCATGCTCAAGAAAATGCTCGTCCTGAATCCCACGAAAAGAGCCACAATGAGAGTGAGTAGAACTTGACCACTGTGTTTCGCATGTTTTGTGGAGTACTACCCAATACATTCTGTTCTGCCGTTTCCCTTTTCCTCAGTGTAATACCATTCCCTCTACTGAGACAAACAAGACCGTGGAATCCACTGATGTGTAATTTCATTGAACTCAATAAATAAGTGGATTTTGTATTTTTAAAACTGGTCGAAGAGGGACACACATATTGTCACTTCGTTAATGCTGATTTAAGACGACTAAAGCATAATGTAGAGGTTAACTTATGCTAGCAGTTGAGTGAATGGTAGAACGAGGCCTAAACTGGTCTCCAGTTCTCTTTGTCGGATACCAGAGGGTTAACTGACTGAAAACAAGTAATCCGCGTCTTTACTTTACTACGCTGTTCACTTTCAACTAGAGGAGTTTGAATGTCTCAGCCACAGAACAAAATTCGGGATTGAAGCACCAAATCCTCTTTTTTATTACTATTTGCCAAAGAAAAAGCTCACCCGTTTTAACCACTCTCTTAAAAGAAGCTGAAATTTATCCCCGCTTGAGTTACAACCTCCACCGTAGGAGTATAACCGGAGACGAGAGTTTGTACAACACAGAACTGAGGTCATGCTCGTTTTTAATGAGCTGTCTGTACCCAGAATTTGTTACTACAGAAGCCTTTGGTTGATGACTTCCATCTCTCCAAAGATGTATCGTATAGTTCACTGGTCAATAAAATGAAGTCATTAACCATTATTGTTCTCAACATTACCTATGAGAGAAAAGGTGCGATGCAATTAGCAACTTGAACTAATACTTCGTTTTCCAGATAAACTGAACAAACACAGATTACTTTCATCAGTGACGTGCTGCATCTACATTAATGGGAGAAGTAACTCTGTGCATCAATGTCTCCCTCGCAACATTGCCAAATAAAATTTTTATCTTATCACAAACAAAATGCAACGTTATCTTTGCAAGCCGTAGTTTAGGCAATCTATTTTAGACATCTATTAGACAATCTATTTTATTTGGGCTCAGATGCCCAAGAAGATCCCCATTTTTCATTTAATTCAGATACTCGCTTCTCTAACAAATGGCAGTTTGACACATTGCAAGGCGATGCCAATCCGTCGATAACTGAATGGTTTGAACTCATGATAAAAGGCAAGCACAAACATATCAGGCGCACGCATGTGACCATTGAGGCAGATCAGAGAAACAATGTTACGCGCACATGGACGTAGAGTACAGGTTTTGAGTTTCGAGAAAATGTCGTGATAAACACAAATTTGTGAGGGCGTCAATAGGAGAGATTGATAGAGTCATAAACAGTATCTCTATTACCTGTCAGCAGTTTCATTATTATTCAATGAAATTTAGAACACATTGACACAAGTAGATTATTGTTTGTGATGTCAATTCTGGAATCTTTTTATTCATGTCTGCTGACTAATGCGAATCCCTCATTTGACTTAAATTTATATTTAAGATAAATTTAAGTATCTTTTTACTTCCTTTCAGGAAGTAAGCCATACAAAGGCCATACAAAGGCTGCCGGGGAAAAATACAGAAATAGGGAAGACGGGTGGCGATGAAGCGGTTCGAATCCGGGACTTCCGGGTCACAATTTGGTGACATAACCACCTAGCCACCACCGCTTTGGTGTGAAGCAACCTTTGGTTTTGTGAAGTGAGCCGGTTTATTCGTGTTTACGCAAGACGGACAACTTTGAATTGAGTAGGCTTAACCGAAAAACCAGATTGGTTAGCTGACAATCAATTTACCCCGGATCAGAAAAAATAATGGTTACATTCATCTAATCCAATGCGATTCAAATGCAGACTTGAGAAGCTGCTAATCAGATGTGTAGTTTTGGCAAGCATTCAGTGGCTGAGGGCCCTTGCGGAAAACATTTTCTTTGACTTCGTCCAATGTTTGAAGGGGTTAGGATCTTTATTTTGGTAGAGAATAAAGAACAATTAGGACCTTTGTAAAACCTGCTTCCTGTAACGCAATTTTCTGTAATTGGCCTTGTTAGCTGGAATATCCTTTAGTTTTCCTTCACTTCAATGTCTAACATAAATACATCAACCGCCATGTCATATGCCACGAACATAGTCTGGATTAACTGTCCATTTTTCTATTGAATACAAGGAACACGTTGCGCATTTATACGAAATAAAATTTGGTTGATTGTTTGTCATCTCAAAACAAAACTCATGTGTTCGGTCTAGACGTACGATTGACATGAGCATCTCTTGCTTAACCTAAACAACAACGTGGAGAGAGAACACGACTCGAGGTTGAATACACAAACACCTAAGGTAAATCCGGCATACGAAGACGGTACAGTGATGCACCAATCATATTGCTTCCGTGACATTTCGATTGGTCGATCGGACAACCGCTGGCTGACTCGCTCTGCAGTCATCCAATCTCTACTCAGTCTGCCTAGAGTGCCGCCAGTGTGCATGTGATCTGACGCCAATGTGTGAGCAACCTAACGGGTTGTTTAAGCTCCGTCCTAACAAAAACAAGTAATCACAACACTTCAAAGGGAAAGGTATGATGATTACCAGTATATTCACTTCATTTTTCCCCAAAAGAAACAAATAAACTACCCACAGGTTCGTCAATCTGGCCTAGGGGACATATTTCGGTTCATCCTCTATCTCCACCGAGTCAAGTTCCGATCATCTTAAATCGATCGCCTTATTCCCTTGATGACTTCAAAAACCTTCCATATGCCAATGATCATGTGAAGTCCTCAAACTACTAAAGAACTCATCTATTCTGTCATAGGTGTCATACGATGAGTGCTCCACAAAGAAGCACTAAATTACACGGTTCCATTTCAAACTTAAACCTGAATTATCCAGTGTTTTTATTTTTCCTCCATTCGGAATTTTACTATTTTTTCTAACTGGGAGCTTAGGTGAACGGCGAATTCTGTTATGATCAACAAAAAGAGTTGAAACAAGAAACTATTCCTGGAACAACTCATCACATCTGATGCGTTTTATATTACATATAGGTGTGTGTGCAGATAAATGATGGATGATCACGGTCCATTGCTATAAGTGCCAAGTCAGTCTGAAAATAACAAAACTTCAACCTCCCTTCGCAACGAAAGAAGTAGACAGGCGTATTTTTCTGTCAGTAATGATGACTCAAGCGTCTTGACAAATACTTTTTAGGTTTCAAGTCAGGAGTGATATAGCCGTTCAAACTTGATCTGGCGCAAAAAAGTAAATGTCAGCTGATAAGAGTGTGCAGTCGAACAAGGTGACAAGGAATACCGTCGCAGTCATTTTATCTGGATAAACCAATGCCACATATTCTCTAAATAATGATCGCCGATTCGGATGTATTCACAGTCACTGTGAAACCGAAGAATTGCTGATAGGCGTCTTGAATCTGTCCGGTCCGGTGGATACTGTTCACTTTTGATCGATTACATTGAGGAATTATCTTCGAACTCGATGTGTATAGCCTCACCGTATATCTCCAAACTCTTGTTTGAGCTATAGATCAAACAATGCAGTCATTATTAAGTTAGACAAATGAAATTCTCTTCTGAGCTCAGGATTTTTGAAAAAGCAAACATCCAACATGCATCAGTCAACCAAGTTATTTACCATCACAAAATTAATCCCGAAGCACATTTGTTTCTTTACTCCTCATAGTTGCATCTAAATAAGCAGGTGTGGTAGGAGAAGCCTGGGAAATGGATATGTGCTTTGGTTTTATCTGTAATATAAACTGGAAGCTGTAAATTATTGACGGCCAGGCATTGGTTTCCCTACACATGTTTGGTTAAGCCCAACAGAAATAAACAAAAACTGATCTCTTAAAGCTGTTGCACAGCTTGGCCATGAAGGTCGTCGAAGTGACGATCAATATGATAATAATTTTTCAGTCATCTACCTCATTTCAGCCATCAGGGCTGTAGCACCTTCATCCTGGTATTTTTGTATTTGTCCAGGTAACCGCAGTTCCCTTGATTGTATCACTGTATATTCAAAGATTCAACAACGTAAACAGATTTATGGTATCTTTCTTGTCTATAAAACTTGTGATACAAGGTTCCCAAATTTCCTGAATCAAGAACTGAATTTTATTTTGAACTCAGCTGGTTATTTATTTATATTCAAATTCGGGAAAATGAAAGCACCCTCGGTTAGCATATTACTACCAATATTTTCCATTTTCCATTCAACTGATCGATCCACTGCTGGATGGATCTGGATTATGCTGGTCTTTAAACATTTGAAAAAATTACTTCAGTCTCAATTTTGGAGACCAAAGTGAAAGAATAAGTTCACGTCTAATTCGATGATAGTACGTTCGACCAACTAAGTGTCACCCTCAAAATTTTGCTTATGCCTCCGAATTCACAATGGATCGGTTGCTGCGGTTGTGATTTGTTCCCTCAGTGGTAACGAATCTTTGTGCGTACGCAACACAACACCTTATAACTTGTGCTGTCCATTTACGTTTTTTACTTGTCTCATAGTGGATTCTGGTCAATAAAAGTTGAATAAGTATTATCTTTCTCTCATGAAAGATATGAACTTTTTGATCATGAGCTACTTATATGCTGATCCATAAAACGGAAACAAAGATGCCCTTATTCAGTTGAGCATGAACAGTGAGCTTCTAACCTGGAACTGTGGCAACTAAAGCTATCCTCACGCATATGAATTGGGGTTTGGTTAACCGCCTAGATGGTTCAGCAACCCAGGCATGGACGCTATCGACGTTTCAGTACATACTGCACGGTCTACCACCTCAGAGCCACGAGATCCCCCGACAGCTCTGAGCATTTCACGCTAGGCTTTCCGCTCCAACACACTAAATACTGATGGATCAACTCTAGTTTTTCTCTCAGTTCCATCACTGGGTTGGTAAATAAATATTCAATGAGAAAACTCAATCGACTGTCCATATTCATCTGCCTGTCGATGCTCTCAGAACAGACACAACAAATCGGAGATGGTCACTAGCGAGGTTCCGCCAACTATCAAAGCATAATGTACGTTCAGAGAAATCGTCAAGATGTCACCATAACCCCCGAATCCTTGCAATTCTGTCACAATTTATTTTGAAACTTGTTTTGAACTATTTATCGTGGTAACTCCCATGTTTGATGATAAACTGTTATGCATTTTTTAAAGAATAATACTTTTGTGTTTGGCTTTATCAAAAGGTATTGACATTTCGAATTTGTTGACTTCATCCAGGAATCGAATCCAAAACATTTCACGCAGAGCAAATACTTTCTTGTCATCCTTTAATAATTTTTCACCAGCTTTTGATCTTATCTCATCAACTCTCAACTGAGTTCATCGTAGTTTCACGGGCATATTGCTCAGCTTTGAATGAAGCACCAACATACTAGATTTTCTCAAGTTTATAATCATCGAAATGGAACAGATTTTATTCTTCACATGTGGGCATGTCATAAGATCGTTTTTTGCAGTTGATGTATCCCGTTAATACGGATTTTAGGCTTCATATCTTCTCCGAGTGATGATCACGTTAAACAGACATTGTAGGTCTCAGAATTTCGTCTTAAGGAAAGATTTTTCGGTTATCTAGAACTTGAAAACCAATATTGTGTTCGCTCCGAATTCGGTCTTGACTGGACACCAAGAGATCGCATTAGTGATCATTAGTGATTCATTTGTACAGTGTTTGACCAAAGTACAACGAGACAAAATGAAAGGATGGTACAATTAAGCCACATGATAATCTGATCTCTTGCGTCAGTTTGTCTGTCTACAGTGGAGGGCAGCTCATCGTTACACGCTCATTGCGCGCAGCCAACGCCGTTTAGTTGAACACTGAGTTTCTGGGTGTTGGTATTTGGTCGGGAGAATTGTTTATTTTGTCCACTGTGGATGTCCATTAAATATGAGGTTCGTAAGTACGTAATGCAATCTGCTTTGTAGCTGTACAAGCAAATACAGGGCCAAAAAGATAGGATGCCGACAATAATTCAGTGAGTCAGACTGTATAGTACTGGGGGGACAGAATACACCGTTGTTTGACTCACTTATTCATGAGGAGTGTATACGAGTCCCGCTACCGTGTGTGCTTGTAAACTGTTGAGATATGTATGCTGTAGTCAACTGTTTACGCTAAAACTGTTGTTATGGTACGAAAACGGAACATAATGGAGCGAGTGAACCACAAATTACTGATTTCAAACTATATACAAAGTCATTATTTCAGATTCTGTTCAACTAATAGCTATTCACTTTCGGTTGCTTCATTTTTACTCTCATATTCTTCTCTGATGTATCAGGAGCTCATGAACGAGAAATGGATTAACGTGGGTTTTGAAAACGATCCGCTCAAACCGTTTGTGGAACCACCGGTGGATTATAGTGATCCCATTCGACGAGGTAAGATCCAGATCCCGCACCTGTCAGATCCAGGAATTATCTCCCATTGAAGTATTATGCACTAAACTTTCCCCTGTATAGCAAGAAAAGAAATGCATATTTTGGGAATATTTTTCTGTTGAGTTTGTCCTGCACCGCAGACAGAGTTAGAACATTTTTCGTAAATTTGATGGTTGCCAAAATAAAGAGCTTCCGAAACAATCCCAAATATATAGAAGGAACCAACGGTCATCTAGGAAGGTCCATTTGAGTCATTACAGATGCACGACATACGTTTACATATGCATACTGAATGAACACTTTTGTTCATGGCTGTAAGCTTAACATAGAAGACTAAAGGAAAAGAGCAGATAGATGATTCAATTTTTCCAGGGCAATAACATTCCTTGCGGTTTTGGAAAGTCTTTGGTGCATTTGACAACTTAATTCGGCCACTCCAGGGACATTTTACTCCTAGTTTTGGAAGCCATCAACCAGAAGGTGGCATACGAATCTAAAATAGATCCAAGTTCCCCAGCATGATCCGTATACTTTTCTATGTTCCGGTTTGTAGGCCGATTGTATTACTACAATGTCCTCTAGTCACACGATTTGTGATTGAATCACGCTTTCAAATTGTTCCATTTTTATCTTCTCTTATTCACCTTGAATTGAAAATAAGTAGTGCTTCATAGAGAATAACGTCAAGATTAAGGGGAATTATTCGGAAATTACCAGGAAATCTATCGTTATTAACCCGTTAACTTTAGTTCACTGATGGAACGGACCTGGTGGATAATCCGGTAGTCTCACAAGAACAAAAATGTTGTCCAAAAACCAATGGTAACAGGAACTGAGAACTAACAGAGAGACAGTGTCTACATGCTTTTACACAGCAAGCAAGAACCTCGACATAAAGGTTAGCTTACAAGGTCTTGAAGTTATGAGGTTTGGATTATGACGTAGTTGCGCAAGCCACAATATCTATCTAGCTGTACTGCTTGTAGATTCATTTACATGATTGTCTCATATTTTCAAATAAACATCACAGCGTCTGTCTTTATATACATTTTTCCTTTAACTTTCTGTAGTAATCTTAGTATGCACCGATCACGAAGTACGAATCACGAATTAGAAATCACGGACTAGCAGTCACGAACTCAACGTAAGCACTGGGTCACACTGATACTTGCACGTAGTATCGCACGTATCGGTAGGCGAGGAAAAGGCCACAGGAAAAAAATCGGGGAGATTAAATAATATGTACAAAACAGGTGAATTGGTCATCCAAGCCTCTGCCAATTGCGCGCTAGCATTTCAGCTTGTCTGGGTCGCACGGTTACTGATTGGTTTGTACAATCGACCTATGGTTTGTAGTCTAGAAGCTGTGACACGTACGCGCTTT